TTTAGGGTAAATTTAAATTTTATAGTTAATTTCGTAACCACAAAAAAGTGTGACATTATGCTTAGTCCAATGGTATGGACTGCCGACTCTAAATCTGAAGGTTGCGGGTTGAAATCCAGGTTGGAAATTTTAGATTTTAGATTTTATTTATTTTTGGGTAAATTGAAACTTCATAGTTAATATCGTAACATTCAAAAATTGTGAAATTACACTTAGTCAAATGGTATGGACTACTGACTCGAAATCTGAAGGTTGTGGGTTCAATTCCAGGGTGAGAATTTTAGATTTTAAAATTTTATTACTTTTTTGGGTAAATTAAAACATTATAGTTAATTTCGTAACCTTTAAAAAGTGTGAAATTAGGCTTAGTCCAATGGTATGGACTACCGACTCGAAATCTGAAGGTTGTGGGTTCAATTCCAGGGGGGAATTTTAGATTTTAAAATTTAGTTCTTTTGGGTAAATTTAAACTTGATAGTTAATTTTGTAACCACTAAAAAGTGTGAAATTATGCTTAGTCCAATGGTACGGACGGCTGACTTGAAATCTGAAGGTTGTGGGTTCAAATCCAGGGGTGGAGTTTTGGTTTTTGAAATTTTATGTCTTTTGGGGTAAATTTAACTTCATAGTTAATTTCATAACCACTAAAAAGTGTGAAATTATGCTTAGTCCAATGGTATGGACTGCTGACTTGAAATCTGAAGGTTGTGGGTTCAATTCCAGGGTGGGAATTTTAGATTTAAAAATTGTATTACTTTTTTGGGTAAATTAAATCATTATAGTTAATTTCGTAACCTTTAAAAATTGTGAAATTACACTTAGTCCAATGGTATGGACTACTGACTCTAAATCTGAAGGTTGTGGGTTCAAATCCATGGTGGAAATTTTAGATTTTAAAATTTTATGTCTTTTTGGGTAAATTTAAACTGCATAGGTAATTTCGTAACCACTAAAAAGTGTGAAATTATGCTTAGTCCAATGGTATGGACTACTGACTCTAAATCTGAAGGTTGTGGGTTCAAATCCAGGGTGGAAATTTTAGATTTTAAAATTTTATGTCTTTTTGGGTAAATTTAAATTTTATAGTTAATTTCGTAACCACAAAAAAGTGTGAAATTATGCTTAGTCCAATGGTATGGACTGCCGACTCTAAATCTGAAGGTTGCAGGTTCAAATCCAGGTTGGAAATTTTAGATTTTAGATTTTATTTATTTTTGGGTAAATTGAAACTTCATAGTTAATATCGTAACATTTAAAAATTGTGAAATTACACTTAGTCCAATGGTATGGACTACTGACTCGAAATCTGAAGGTTGTGGGTTCAATTCCAGGGGGGGAATTTTAGATTTTAAAATTTTATTACTTTTTTGGGTAAATTAAAACATTATAGTTAATTTTGTAACATTTAAAAATTGTGAAATTACACTTAGTCCAATGGTATGGACTACTGACTCGAAATCTGAAGGTTGTGGGTTCAATTCCAGGGTGGGAATTTTAGATTTCTAAATTTTATTACTTTTTTGGGTAAATTAAAACATTATAGTTAATTTCGTAACCTTTAAAAAGTGTGAAATTAGGCTTAGTCCAATGGTATGGACTTCCTACTCGAAATCTGAAGGTTGCGGGTTCAATTCCAGGGGGGGAATTTTAGATTTTAAAATTTAGTTCTTTTTGGGTAAATTTAAACTTGATAGTTAATTTTGTAACCACTAAAAAGTGTGAAATTATGCTTAGTCCAATGGTACGGACTGCTGACTTGAAATCTGAAGGTTGTGGGTTCAATTCCAGGGTGGGAATTTTAGATTTTAAAATTTTATGTCTTTTTGGGTAAATTTAAACTTCATAGTTAATTTCGTAACCACTAAAAAGTGTGAAATTATGCTTTGTCCAATGGTATGGACTGCTGACTCTAAATCTGAAGGTTGCCGGTTCAAATCCAGGTTGGAAATTTTAGATTTTAGATTTTATTTATTTTTGGGTAAATTGAAACTTCATAGTTAATTTCGTAACATTGAAAAATTGTGAAATTACACTTAGTCCAATGATATGGACTACTGACTCGAAATCTGAAGGTTGTGGGTTCAATTCCAGGGTGGGAATTTTAGATTTTAAAATTTTATTACTTTTTGGGGTAAATTAAAACATTATAGTTAATTTCGTAACCTTTAAAAAGTGTGAAATTACACGTAGTCCAATGGTATGGACTTCTGACTCTAAATCTGAAGGTTGTCGGTCCAAATCCAGGGTGGGAATTTTAGATTTTAAAATTTTATGTCTTTTTGGGTAAATTTAAATTTAATAGTTAATTTCGTAACCACAAAAAAGTGTGAAATTATGCTTAGTCCAATAGTATGGACTGCTGACTCTAAATCTGAAGGTTGCGGGTTCAAATCCAGGTTGGAAATTTTAGATTTTATTTATTTTTGGGTAAATTGAAACTTCATAGTTAATTTCGTAACATTTAAAAATTGTGAAATTACACTTAGTCCAATGGTATGGACTACTGACTCGAAATCTGAAGGTTGCGGGTTCAATTCCAGGGGGGAATTTTAGATTTTAAAATTTAGTTCTTTTGGGGTAAATTTAAACTTGATAGTTAATTTTGTAACCACTAAAAAGTGTGAAATTATGCTTAGTCCAATGGTACGGACGGCTGACTTGAAATCTGAAGGTTGTGGGTTCAAATCCAGGGGTGGAGTTTTGGTTTTTGAAATTTTATTTCTTTTGGGGTAAATTTAACTTCATAGTTAATTTCGTAACCACTAAAAAGTGTGAAATTATGCTTAGTCCAATGGTATGGACTGCTGACTTGAAATCTGAAGGTTGTGGGTTCAATTCCAGGGTGGGAATTTTAGATTTTAAAATTTTATTACTTTTTTGGGTAAATTAAATCATTATAGTTAATTTCGTAACCTTTAAAAATCGTGAAATTACACTTAGTCCAATGGTATGGACTACTGACTCTAAATCTGAAGGTTGTGGGTTCAAATCCAGGGTGGAAATTTTAGATTTTAAAATTTTATGTCTTTTGGGGTAAATTTAAATTGTATAGTTAATTTCGTAACCTTTAAAAAGTGTGAAATTAGGCTTAGTCCAATGGTATGGACTACTGACTCGAAATCTGAAGGTTACGGGTTCAATTCCAGGGGGGGAATTTTAGATTTTAAAATTTAGTTCTTTTTGGGTAAATTTAAACTTGATAGTTAATTTTGTAACCACTAAAAAGTGTGAAATTATGCTTAGTTCAATGGTACGGACGGCTGACTTGAAATCTGAAGGTTGTGGGTTCAAATCCAGGGGTAGAGTTTTGGTTTTTGAAATTTTATGTCTTTTGGGGTAAATTTAACTTCATAGTTAATTTCGTAACCACTAAAAAGTGTGAAATTATGCTTAGTCCAATGGTATGGACTGCTGACTTGAAATCTGAAGGTTGTGGGTTCAATTCCAGGGTGGGAATTTTAGATTTTAAAATTTTATTACTTTTTTGGGTAAATTAAATCATGATAGTTAATTTCGTCACCTTTAAAAATTGTGAAATTACACTTAGTCCAATGGTATGGACTACTGACTCTAAATCTGAAGGTTGTGGGTTCAAATCCAGGGTGGAAATTTTAGATTTTAAAATTTTATGTCTTTTTGGGTAAATTTAAACTGCATAGTTAATTTTGTAACCACTAAAAAGTGTGAAATTATGCTTAGTCCAATGGTATGGACTGCCGACTCTCAATCTGAAGGTTGCGGGTTCAAATCCAGGTTTGAAATTTTAGATTTTAGATTTTATATATTTTGGGGTAAATTGAAACTTCATAGTTAATATTGTAACATTTAAAAATTGTGAAATTACACTTAGTCCAATGGGATGGACTTCTGACTCGAAATCTGAAGGTTGTGGGTTCAATTCCAGGGTGGGAATTTTAGATTTTAAAATTTATTTCTTTTTGGGTAAATTTAAACATTATAGTTAATTTCGTAACCTTTAACAAGTGTGAAATTAGGCTTAGTCCAATGGTATGGACTATCGACTCGAAATCTGAAGGTTGCGGGTTCAATTCCAGGAAGGGAATTAAAGATTTTAAAATATTATTTCTTTTTGGGTAAATTGAAACTTTATAGTTAATTTTTTAACCAATAAAAACAGTGGAATTATGCTAAGTACAATGGTACGGACTGCTGATTTTAAATTTTAAGGTTGTGGGTTCAAATCCAGGGTGGAAATTTTAGATTTTAAAATTTTATTTCTTTTGGGTAAATTGAAACTTGATAGTTAATTTCGTAACCACTAAAAAGCATGAAATTATGCTTAGTGCAGTGGTTCAGACTGCTGACTCTAAATCTAAAGGTTGCAGGTTCATTCCCACGCTGGGAATTTTAGATTTCAAAATTTTACTACTTTTTAGGTCAATTGAAACTTTACAGTTAATTTTGTAACCACAAAATAGTGTGAAGTTGTGCTTAATCAAGTAATACGGACTGATGACCCTAAATCTGAACTTCTGAAGGTTGCTGGTTCAAGTCCCACAGTTGGAGTTTTAGATTTTAAAATTTTATTAATTTTGAGGTCAATTGAAATTTTTATTTTTTTCAAGTTTGAAACCAGTCCACACTTCTAGTCTAGCAAAAGCCAAAAAGTAAAAAGCAAATACTTTTAGCTTGAAGCAAATAGTGAAAGCATTTGCTCTCATTTTTATTCATGCAAATAAAAGTTATGCTTAAAAATATGTAGTAAAAAAAAAAGCAAATGCTCGTTTTTATACATACGACCAAATGTTTCAATGTTAATCATAATTGCATCGTTTATGTTTCAGTAATAGATTTGAGGACCTACATGGATCTGTTTGGGCCTACAACGCCGCCCATTCACTGAGCGGATTCGGGATTGCCCATCGAGAACTCGAAAAGATAGGAGAGACCAAGGCCAGTTGCTCTGGTAAAATTTTTCATTCAGGTAAGACAAACTTCCATGAAGACTCAACTCATTAGTTCAAGTCCCCCCCCCCCCAACTAAGCCCTAAGACAACACTGAGTGTACACTGTTTACAAAATATGTCCGGTTTTATTTAGTTAAGTGGCTTTCAGGCTGTTAGTTCTCCCACATTTTAATGGTGGTCCCTCATTTGACATGTTGTCATCAAACGTTCTTTTGTCAAAGCCATCGGGGCAGAATATTTTTGGCATGCTGTTGGAAAGAACCAATTTTCAACTTTTGTTCTTGTGAAAATCCTGTTGCGAGACATCACAGCCTGTGTTGTGATGTGAATGAGTTCTACCTGATTGATAAACGTGACCCGACTCAGAGGTGGCATGTCTTGGTGACAGTCCCTCGCTTGTCAGTTGGTACAGAATGTCATTTGGTGACAAGTGAACGTCCTTATCCAAAGTCAAGGAGTCATATCCCACAGTATCTCCGGGGTTATCCACGATGTTGCCGAGCGGCTCCGAATCCTCCTCAGACATTATCGTCATGACGACTGTCTGCTCCATGTTCCCAAGGGTGCCCTCCGAGGACGACATCATGGCCATGTGTGAGATGTCCTGTGATTGGTCAGCCAGGTCTGGTACCAAGACTGTAGATTCAGCTGCAGATTCCTCGGGGGCTGATTTGGATAATGCGCAGGCCTGAGTGTACAGCCGTAGCTGTGCTAGATGGTGGTGCAGCAGCTGGGTGTGCTCCTCAGACATGTGTTGCAGTAACTCTTGCAAAATGGACTGGTTCTCGCTGTCGTTGGTTAGATGTTTCAAACTGGACGTGTGAATCATGGACAGCTGCTGCTTGAGTGACATGTTTGTGTTGGACAAATACTCAACCTGGAGGGCAAGACGGATGGGCAGAGAAATTATTTGTTTACAGATGGAATTTTAATAGACCAATCCATTAGGCTCTGCCCCATGATGTGTAACCAATCACAACCATGACAGCGCACACCAAAGTCTGACATTTATGCACTTTATGATGTGTGCAGTTGGAGCATGAATGCTTAAGAAGGCACGTGTGTTGTTGCCCAGTTATTTAGTGCAACTAGTGTATGAGTGAAACCACGGATCCTCTACACAAGGATAAACGACACATCTGAGCTTGGGTACAAAATGTGTGCAACGGTTTGTCTGCATTTATCATAAGCAGCGTCAGCGCATAAAACAACGTAGAACGTGTAGAAAATGTAGAGCAATGACAACAACAGTGCACACCATGATCGCCCACAGCCATGACAGCTGGCATCCTGACAGAAATCTGACCACTGAAAGAACGCAGTCGCATTAGTGTGCCTGCATTAGTTCTGATCAAGGTATGTCCCCCCTCCCACTTTTAAGAAGCGATTGACGCCCTTGGTACCTGTTGCATGCAGGGAACAAGATCCAAACTCATTCTTAGACCAAGACCAGATGGAATGCCCACTCACCTTTGTACGAAGCCTTTCTATAGTGCCTTTCATCCTGTGCTCTGTCTGGGCCCACGTGGTCCGCTCCTCCTCAAGAGTCTTCTCCAGACGTTCCTTCTCCTGCAGCAGCAGCGACAAGTTGTGCTCTGTGTAGCAAGTCTCGTCTTCCAAATCCTCTTTGCTTCCTTCGTCTGGTATCTCAATAAGGACAACTGTTTACGAGAGGGAAAGGTTGAGTAATTATCCTGGATAATAATTCCTGTAATAATGAAAGTCGGTCATCAAAAGGTCACTCGAGGTGTGGGCTACACAAAGAGGGGAAATGATGGGAGGAGTTTATGGAGTAGAAAGGTCGACATATATGTTGCGCTTGAATGGGACAGATGATATGTAGCGGTAAAAACAGGATACAGGCAAGAAAGTCCAAAGTGATGCAGTGTGTCAAGAACATGTAATTCCTTGTAACTGGGTGCAAGCAATCACTCACTTTTTCAAACCGTATTCCTAACATTAGATGGGCAAGGTGAAGGACAAATGCCAATATTTAATTAATTGTTGAAGTCAGCTCTCAACATGTACTGCGACCCTGACTTATTAGATTTTTTTTTTTGCTTAGAACCTTCCTTAATCCTCCAAAATTTCATCAACTTAAATAACACCAATGGCACACCCTTTGCACCTTGTAATTTCAATTTGTAAAATCCACTGTCAATATTGGCCCTCATCCACCCCAACCCCCTAAAAAAAATGCTGAACTTTTGGTTGTTTTATTTATTTTATTGACCAAACAAGTGCAGGAGTGAAGACAACTGTATTAAACATGCTGTTGTCTACCCATTCCTTCTTCCATATGGATTCACGATATATCAATTGAAAACAAAGTGGGGGGGGGGGGTGGGGTTGGGGGAAGAGTTCTTCCTTGCATCAAATGCCTCCCCCTTGGCTTTTTGGTCAGCTTCTTCTAATTATCCTTCACTGCTGGTGGCATTATCCACCTTAACCTCTGCGTAGATGCTGAAGGATTCTTGGAGGGTCAGGGTTAATATTCTTACCATCTGACCTTCCCCATTGGCAGTGCTCTGGCTCGGATCATTGATGCAGGCATACTGGTACTCGATCTGCGGCTGCTGCCCGTCAGTCTGCTCATAGCCCCGGGGATGATGTGTCTGTCTCCGATGGCTGCTGTGACTGGGGGACTATGAGGTGTGTTACCAGGCTGGTACTGTTGGGTGCTGGGTCAGTGTATGTGGTGAAGATCTGGTTGACATCCTGGGTAAAAATGGTGGAGTGAAGTGGTTGAGGATGATAAAATGAGACAAAACCTGCAGGGTTGCAAAAGATTCAATTTACACCGCAAATGTACAGGGAAAAATTAAAGTTCAAACTTAATTATTTTAAAAGACCCTAAGTGTTGGCATTTGATAAAATCCACCAAAATCCTTGTAAACCACCATACCTGCTCACAAGGTACATCAATTTCAACTGATTAAATTTATTTCATTGTTTGTTTGTTTTTTCATGCAGATTAAAGGGGACCATTACATTACAGCAACGGCATACTCAGTTGTCTTGAAACAGCACTGAAACTGCGAAGGTTAAAAAAATAAGTGCATTTTCAAACAGCTTAAGCCAAAAGGGTGTCTCTAATCATTCTCAAAAGAATAAATACTTGAGTCAAATGTTTGATTGTGAAATTTATTTCAGAGAGTCTTTAAAGCTATACATAAGTCCAATGAGCTCCGGAATTCAAGCATCAGGAATTTACAACATTTTCTGAGTGAACCATGGTAGTTTACCCACCTGTGCCAATGTTTAATAGCTTGTCACTGTTGATGCAGTTTAAAGGGAATAAAAGTATGCTTGGAAGGTCTTAATCACTCTGTTTAAAACCGCTTGGAGTCGAAGGCGATGGTATTTATCAGCACCCAGACTCCAAGCGGTCTTAAACTTAAATACCGACCAAGCACATATTTATTCCCATTCATAAATACCTATTCTGTCAAAAAAAATCCAAACCTTTTGGTAAAACAACTGATTTTGCTCAACAAGTTCACTTCATGTTTTTTTAACACCCCTCTATAGCTAAATAATGGAGTGTCCAGCTCGCGATTAAGATGTTAACAACTCCTTTTATGGAGATTGGTGCACGCATCGCACATACTGCGCGATGTCATGCAAAACGCACCTGGGGCGTTGCGTTGTGAATTTTAGGACTATGAAATACTGACTCACTGGTAGCATTGCGCATGCCTACGTGAGGACCAATAAAATGGAAAGAGGCACTGGATTTCATAGGAGCCAACATTTCAAGTGACACTGGAAAAGAGTTGAAGACCAGCCAGCCATGTCTTTATCATCCATTTAAGACCGGCCACATGGCGGCTTCTCGACCAATAGGAATGGATCAACTGCCATAGGTATTTATGAATTGTGGTTTACATGTATTGTACGTGCAGTCTGATGTGCCCACTGGGATCAAATGAAGTACATGATTGTAACATTGACCATGACATACTGTACCCGAGTAATAACTATCTGTATTGTGGTCTCTGGATTACGGAAGTGTTGCTGGTAGTGCTTCATAGCCTCGTCCCTCCTGCTGAACCCGTTGTGACAGTGGTAGCAGTGCCAGTGGGCACCCTTGAAGTATTTCTGCTCGTGAATGATGCCGTGGACGATGCAGGATCTACATCACTGCAATATTTTAAGACCTGGGGAGGGATACAGTAGAGGATTGGTTTGGCAATTTTGACAAAAGCTGACAGCTATATGCACTTTGACAAAACATGAACTATGGATCTTTTTATATGGTTCTCTTGCTGTAACAGGCACAAGTAAGCTATTGACCTGAGTTAGGACTCTTGTTCAGGCAGGCCGGATGCAAAGTTTTTCCTAAGTCACAGCCGGCGCTTGGGCATGGCCTGTGACAATTGAGTCTATCGAACACTGATATCTGCTAAGAATAACCAGCCCAGGTATCTGTCAATTTCATAAAACTTCCACAAATGCCACTACCTTGTCCTGCTGTCCACTACCTTCAACTTATCTTAATTAACCCTAACCCTGCCACATGCAGCACAGTGCATCAGGTGGAAAAGTCTGGTGCACTTTGCTGCATTTCAGCTATCAACACCAGTGCATCAACAGCCAGTTCTGAAACAATGAGAGCTAATCCCATTGAACAATGCCTCAGTTGTATCCTGCTGCGTTCGAGGACCACAGACTCCGAGGCAATTTGGCTTTGAGACTTTTGACCTGATGGATCTTGCTGCACTCGGCAGGCTTGTCACTTAGACAAGTGTTGCATGTTGCTGCCTTTGGCAGGGTTTCTAGCCAAAATAACATGGAGGGTTAATTAATTCAACTCACAAATCTTTTCAAAAACATGGACCGTAAAAGTTATCTTGTAGCATGACCTGCGACGAGAAAGTAAAACAGTGGCTACACTCCCTGTCTGTGCATTGTATGGGCGTCCAGTCTGCCTCAGCGCCTTTCATCCGCACTGATGGATGCGCCTACAGTTGCAAAAAAAACACATGAGAAAAAATGTCAACAATCAAATTTATATGTATGATGTAAAAAAAAATATGTAAATGTATAAAACGGCAATGCCAATAAAATCAGCAAAAAAACCCCACATTTTCTACTCAATCAAAACCTTCACAGAAATTTTCAAAGTGGGGGGAGGGGGGAACAAATTAGGCCAAATAAAAAAACAAAAACATGTTAAGCGTCCCTACCTGCTTCCTTTTTGGAGGCTGGCTCCTTTGGCTCCTTTTATTTTTTCTTTCTTTTTTGTAACCAATTTTTTTTTTAATTTTGGCCTCTTACATTGTCTCTGTTGCATCATGGAGCTATAAACACATTTCGATATAAAGCTGGTATGTAATTTTCTGAGTTTAATGGCAGCCATTTTTAAAAAAACCCAAATGGCAGCCATCTTAAACACTAGCCCTGTCGGGCGACCATTTTGGAGGACAGAAAAACAAGGGCCTCCCGCTTCCTTTTTTTTCAAAAAGCAGGACCCTAACTCCCCCTAAGCATGTTCTTTTTGGAAAGATTCCCGTATCCAGCCATCACTTGTCAATGTCATCCTGTGCAGAATGAGACTGGTCTGAAAATTTGTGTTTTCTCAGTAAATACCCCAATAAATTCCCTGCTAAATTTGACTTTTAAGGGCGAGCGTGAAGTGAAGGGCCCCTGTTTTATTTTGATCGAATTAGAGTCAAAAATATATTTTTTGCTCAAAAATCACCTTTAAAATCAAACAGACTTTTCTCAATTCATTCTAGTGAGACCCGTTTTGCAATTTTGAACAGATTCTAGGGGTAGAAAACATGATTTTCCTGCGCGGTTTGTGCCTTGCGATTCAGCACACCATGCGTGCTCAAGTACATCACATGGTGATCGCCATCTTGATTTTCAGGACGTGTGTTTTTCCCGAAAAAAAACAAAACCCTGCCCTCTATCTATGACATACCTGTTGATTGAGAATGTCGCCAACTAGTTTGGTAGGTCTAATAATTTTTAAAGTGGAATGTTCCCTTATAGGAACCGGACCCTTCAATTCACGATCGCCCTTTTTAGGACATATTATTATTATCACTTTCTGATGGCTGATAGGTCGCTGAAGGAAAACATTAGTGATGGCCAGATATGGGAATCTTTCCGAAAAAGCCTCCTAGCACTAGCCATAGCGAGCTGCAGCCATTCAATATTGTGAAGTGTCCGGAAACTGGGCGATTTAACATTTTGCTTTTTTGCTTTTTTTATTCGCAGTGGCTATTGTTACGGCAGCCGTAACGCATTTCCCATTTTCTATCGTTACGGTAGACTGCAACCTGGCAACTTTTATAAAAAAACATGACAAGAAAATATAAAATTAGAAGGAAAAAAGTGAATTTGAACTTTATGAAATTCGGACTTTATTTCCCTTTTAAAAAAAATCCTCCAAAGCCTCAGGTTAGAAAAGGAAAAAAATTCGAGTGCAAAACTGAGATTCGAACCTGCAACCTCGCGGTGCAAAATCCTACTCTCTATCGGCTGAGCTGGCGCACTGCTCGATAAAACGTGGAGAAACAAATAATTATATACCCGCGTGCGTATCAAAAAAATATCGTAGAGGGCGCTAAACAACGAGTGCCGTAACGATAGCCACTTCGTTTTTTATTATTTTTACGACGAGGTGTCCTAGTCCTACTACAAAATATAAATAATTTTTCAGAATCTCTTGGGTACCTACCAGTACCATATGAATAGCCATGTTCAATAACTCCTTTGCCTTGAATAATCACATAAATAAATTCTGGGGGAAAATATTAAGTTGAAAAACTATGACTAGTGTAGTGTTCAGCGTAAAGTTAAACAGCGCCCTCCAGGCAAAAAGTGGTTTAAAGGGTTTTTCCAAAATTCGAAGCCAGCTACGGCTTCGTCTGTTATAATAATTTGAAGATTATGAAATTTCCACACAGCTACTCAGAAAGCGTGAGTTGTCTTATAAGAATAGACAAATAGGTGTTATTAGGCTTCCGTTAAGGGAGACGTATGCGTCTCGTAAAAAAAAAAAGACGGATGCCAGTTCGATGATGAAGCTGCGAGTCTGCAATGAAGACCGAGGTTTCAAAACAGCTTGCATGCTGCCAATCGAGCGACACATGAGGGCAGCATTCAACAACATAAACACGCGACTCGTGTAAATCTGCCGCTACCCGTATTCTTCTGACTCTGGTCTGAGTGGCTGAAAACTTTCTTATTTATTAGTATTACGTCAGAATCAGTACTACAAGTTTGTTTTCATTAAAGGTAACATTAATTTGGTTGTTTTTAATAGCTATTGGTGAAATCTGCATTATTTTATTTAGTGAAATGTACTGCAGAAGTAGCCGTAGACGCACTGCGTTTATAGCGTAACTTGTTATGATGTTTCGTCGTGTGTGTTCGTGAAAAGTTTGAGATGCTTAGTTAAAAAAGGAAAAATGTCCAAACTGGGCCACCAATATGACCTGAAAAGTACCAAAAGTTGTAAATCTGATGGAAAAACACTATTAAGGAGTGCAAAAATTCTGGCTGAAAAAAAATTGATTCGCTCGTGTGATTCTTAAGTAAAATTTGAGGTGGAGATACTAAGTAATGAAAGGTTTGTGGAAACACCATGTGCGAATAATTTCTCAACTAAGAGAATGGTTCTGAAAAGAACCAGAGGTATAAACTCGACGTTCCGACTTAGACTGATGGGTCTCCTATACCCTAGGTCCTCAGCTACCACCTAAGACTGAAGGGTCTCCTATACCCTAGGTCCTCCGTCTACTGACACTGCAACCCTACTGTTTCACTTCAGTGGGCACCAAGCTTGCTCTAGGATCCTGTCTACTTGGCATCCTCACAGGATGCAACTTCACACTTCATTGATTTTGTCTTTTGCTACTTAAGTATTCACTTTCTTAGAGTTTAGGCACTCTCCTGAAGACGGTCAGAACATACTGACCGGAATGTCGAGTGATACCTCTGGTTCTTTTCAGAACCATTCTCTTAGTTGAGAAATTATTCGCACATGGTGTTTCCGCAAACCTTTCATTATTCGTGTGATTCTTTTTTAGCGCAAAGGTTTTTTAGATCCATTCGGAACAGATTGAACCGATCCGGAACTAGGAAAAGTGACATTAGTACTTTTGACGTCGTAAAGCCAAAATAAAAACAACCTACATTTGGAAAATTATTATGTATCTCCATCACTCAAGGTAAACTATTGAACCAATATCACTTGAATTTGTGGAGTAATTGAGCTGAAAGCAGCCTAAATGATGTTTGCTATCCGAAACTAGGAAAACAACTGTAATATGTGTTCTGTCATGGCCCATAGACTTTGTGCAGGAGCTCTGGGTGGTGGCCCAGTATGGATTTTTTTCCGACCACCCCAATTAGTTGGCGACATTGAGAACATATGTAGGGGTAATCCTTATCTGTAGGACACCTCTATTTTTACGAGTTCTCTTCAAAACTGACTTTTGTACTCCTAGAACTATGATGCTCCGCGTGAGCTGAGCCTCATAGATACAGAACCCGCAAAATTGTTTGCAGCACAAAAGACTAATTAAGTTCAAAAATGTCCATCAAAACACAACATTGGCTGATTGTTTTGTTGTTCAAATGTGGATAACTGTTGTATTGCTAGAAAAAAAGCAATTCAGAAATGAGTATACAGTGTTTATACTTCGGCAAAGGGCAAAACCTAATATTGATTTACATCACCCCAACACAAAATTCCATCTGATGAAATAGTAGATCGTGGATCGCAGGAGGTCGTGGGTTCAAGTCCAAACCCGAGTGATTTTTTCTAACTTCCACTTGGGAGGTAACACACTGAGTATACAGTGTTTATACGTTAGTGAAGGGCAAAACCAAATACTAATTTAGAAAAGAAATTTCATTTTTGGGATGAAACTCGAAAATAGAACGGGAAATGCAACTTTAAATCCCCCCCCCCAACACAAACATTCCATCTTACAAATATTCATCTTCTTTCCTGTTACATTCAGTGATTGCGATGGATTAACTGATGGAAATCCAATTGTTTGTTTCATCCCTCAGCTGCTAAGAAGATAAGGAGGAGGCATTGAAAGTACTCAACGGACACAAATGGAAAGGACAGGTGCTCAAAGCCAAGGTATTCAATTGTGGCTTTATTATTGACACGAGTTTCTGTTGGCACTTGTCACTGGATTTAAATGAATAAGAACTGCCTCAGCGTTGGCTATTATATAACAACCAAGTAAATCCTTGTCATTTGATTGGAGAATTGTAGGTCACGCGGCATTCATTAATCAAACCATTGCATTTTTTGTTCCATTCACTGTGCATTTTCGTCCCATCCCTTTTGATCTATTGCAGCCGCCCGCATGCTAAGTTTCTGTTGGCACTTGTGATTCGATTTAAATGATTGAGAACTGCCTCCGCATTGGCTACCAGTGCAAGGGGTCTAGTGGCTGCTATTGCTGTGGTTACAGGTTCATATTCCCGCAATGACTCTTTTCCGTAGCTCGCCAAGTCAGTTGAGGACCCGGACACTAAGAGCCTCGCTCGGAAGAGAAGCCAAGAGGAATCTGATGGAAACACCCAAGAAGCTAAGAGGAGGAAGGAGGAGGACAGCTGACCAGTAGAAGAGAGGTGAAGACATTGAGATAGAATGCAGGGTTGGGCTGGATTCGAACCACCAACATAGAAATGTACTGCAGTTCAAAACTCAGATATTGTGGATACAATTGGTGCTATTTGTTTGGATTAAGTATTTTGTATTGACCTCAAATTTACCCAAACCAGCATCCTGAAATTGTGTCTGCCATATCTCAAAAAGGCTAATAGCAGTTGAACCATTTACTATTACTCAAACTTGATTAAGACTCTGAAATACTGAGCGCAATTTGTTCATCCTTGTCCAATCTGCAGGTTAAACAACACAGTGACTCCACTATGGAACCAGCTGTATGAGGACCAGCTATCCACCAAACAGACCAACACCAGGGAGTGTCTTGTCTTGATGCATGGCCAGTGTATGGAAGGACGGCAACCGGCATGTCAGGTGTGTTCAGGGTCTGTGACTGGTTCCTATTCGGTAAGAAGTTTTGATGTTTAGGTCTGTTCCCATTGTCTTTTAGCATTGGATTGTTTATGTAGGGGAGTTGTCAGTGTTAATGTCTAGTTCTGCCCTTCACCAATGTAAATTTGAAAGCACTGTATAGGTCTACTAAGTGTTTTCTGGAGATAACTAGCAAAAAATTCCCCAGCTTTCGTGGGTGGGATTTGCACATGTTTTTACCACTTGATAACCAAGCATATCAAAGTTTGTTGGATAAATATCCCTGACATTGAAGATGATGTGTAAATCCTTTGGATTTGATGATTTCTGTCATTGGTGGGATGTGAACCCCAAGCCCCTGCTTGTAGAAACTCAGATTGGGACCAACTGTCCCTTGACCTACTGGCAAACTGGGTCTCATGGCATAAACACCAGGGGGTGGGGGGTTCATCCCCACCCCTCCCATATTTTGACCAGGGTGGTGGGGGATAGGCAATGGCATCATCATGTGTTAAGGAAAAATGCTGCTTGTTGAATCCTGTCAACATGACTTTACAAACAAAAATTGAAGTAGTTTTGAGAGAAGCAAAAAGTAACCCTAGGCACTCTTAAAAGTAAGTCAAGTTTTTTGTTTTTTTTTTGAGCTGAAATCTCTCAGGGATTCATAGCTGGCCTCTTTCCACCTTGTGTGAACATTTGACTTAATTTCGTGATGTTGGATTTTCAGCCCAGAAATAAGTTTTTTTGATGACTGCGGATATGGAAAACTTTTTAAGATTTGGGCTATTTCGGCCTAAAACTGAAATGTTTGTTTTCTCCCTGGGTCCTGACTTAGGTGAGCTGAAATCTCTCAGGGATTCATATCTGGCCTCATCCTGCCTTTTGAGAACATTGGACCTACATGTAATTGCGTGAAGTTGGTTTTAGTGGCCGAAAATGAGTATTTTTGATGACCGCGGATATGGAAAACTTTCAAGATTTGGGCTATTTCGGCTGAAAACTGAAATGTTTATTTTCTCCCATGATCCTGACTTAGGTGAGCTGAAAACTCTCAGGGATTGCCTCTTCTCACCTTGTGTAATCATTTGACTTAATGTCATGAAGTTGGATTTTCAGGCCAAAAATGAGTAATTTTGATGACCGCGGATTTGGAAAACTTTCAAGATTTGGGCCATTTCGGCCAAAAACTGAAATGTTTATATTCTCCCTGAGTCCTGACTTAGGTGAGCTGAAATCTCTCAGGGATTCATATCTGCCCTCTTCCTACCTTGTGTGAACATTTGACTTAATTGCTTGAAGTTGGATTTTCTGGCCAAAAATGAGTACTTTTAATGATTGCGGATATGGAAAACTTTTCAAGATTTGGGCTATTTCGGACGAAAACTGAAATGTTTATTTTCTCCCTGGGTCCTGACTTAGGTGAGCTGAAATCTCTCAGGGATTCATATCTGGCCTCATCCTGCCTTTTGAGAACATTGGACCTACATGTAATTGCGTGAAGTTGGTTTTAGTGGCCGAAAATGAGTATTTTTGATGACCGCGGATATGGAAAACTTTCAAGATTTGGGCTATTTCGGCTGAAAACTGAAATGTTTATTTTCTCCCATGATCCTGACTTAGGTGAGCTGAAAACTCTCAGGGATTGCCTCTTCTCACCTTGTGTAATCATTTGACTTAATGTCATGAAGTTGGATTTTCAGGCCAAAAATGAGTAATTTTGATGACCGCGGATTTGGAAAACTTTCAAGATTTGGGCCATTTCGGCCAAAAACTGAAATGTTTATATTCTCCCTGAGTCCTGACTTAGGTGAGCTGAAATCTCTCAGGGATTCATATCTGCCCTCTTCCTACCTTGTGTGAACATTTGACTTAATTGCTTGAAGTTGGATTTTCTGGCCAAAAATGAGTACTTTTAATGATTGCGGATATGGAAAACTTTTCAAGATTTGGGCTATTTCGGACGAAAACTGAAATGTTTATTTTCTCCCTGGGTCCTGACTTAGGTGAGCTGAAATCTCTCAGGGATTCATATCTGCCCTCTTCCTACCTTGTGTGAACATTTGACTTTATGTCGTGAAGTTGGATTTTCAGGCCAAAAATGAGTATTTTGATGCTTGCGGATATGGAAAACTTTTCAAGATTTGGGCTATTTTGGTCGAAAACTGAAATGTTTATTTTGTCCCTGGCTCCTGACTTAGGTGAGCTGAAATCTCTCAGGGATTCATATCTGCCCTCTTCCTACCTTGTGTGAACATTTGACTTAATTGCTTGAAGTTGGATTTTCTGGCCAAAAATGAGTACTTTTAATGATTGCGGATATGGAAAACTTTTCAAGATTTGGGCTATTTCGGACGAAAACTGTAACGTTTATTTTTTACCTGGATTCTGACTTAGGAGAGCTGAAATCTCTCAGGGATTCATATCTGGCCTCTTCCCACCTTGTGTGAACATTTGACTTAATGTCGTGAAGTTGCATTTTCAGGCCAAAAATGAGTAATTTTGATGACTGCGAATATGGAAAACTTTCAAGATTTCGGTTATTTCGGCCGAAAACTGAAATGTTTATTTTCTCCCTGGGTCCTGACTTAGGTGAGCTGAAATCTCTCAGGGATTCATATCTGGCCTCTTCTCACCTTGTGTGAACATTTGACTTAATGTTGTGAAGTTGGATTTTCTGGCCAAAAATGAGTAATTTTGATGACCACGAATATGGAAAACTTTCAAGATTTGGGTTATTTCGGCCGAAAACTTAAATGTTTATTTTCTCCCTGGGTCCTGACTTAGGTGAGCTGAAATCTCTCAGGTATTCATATCCGGCCTCTTCCCACCTTTTGTGAACATTTGACTTAATTGTGTGAAGTTGGATTTTCAGGCCAAAAATGAGTATTTTTGATGATTGCGGATATGGAAAACTTTTGAAGATTTGGGCTATTTCGGCCGAAAACTGAAATGTTTATTTTCTACCTGGATCCTGACCTAGGTGAGCTGAAATCTCTCAGGGATTCATATCAGTCCTCTTCCCAATTGTGTGAACATTTGACCTAATTGCGTGAAGTTGGAATTTCTGGTCAAAAATGAGTAATTTTGATGACCACGAATATGGAAAACTTTCAAGATTTGGGTTATTTCGGCCGAAAACTGAAATGTTTATTTTCTCCCTGCGTCCTGACTAAGATGACCTGATATCTCTCAGGGATTCATATCTGGCCTCTTCCCACGTTGTGTGAACATTAAGTTTGACTTAATTGCGTGAAGTTGGATTTTCAGGCCAAAAATGAGTAATTTTGATGACCGCATATATGGAAAACTTTCAAGATTTGGGTTATTTCAGCCGAAAACTGAAATGTTTATTTTCTCCCTGGGTCCTGACTTAGGTGAGCTGAAATCTCTCAGGGATTCATATCTGGCCTCTTCCCACCTTGTGTGAACATTTGACTTAATTGCGTGAAGTTGGATTTTCACGCCAAAAATGAGTATTTTTGATGACCGTGGGATATGGAAAACTTTTGAAGATTTGGGCTATTTCCGCCAAAAACTGAATTGTTTATTTTCTCCCTGGGTCCTGACTTAGGTGAGCTGAAATCTCTCAGGGATTCATATCTGGCCTTTTCCCACCTTGTGTGAACATTTGACTTAATTGCGTGAAGTTGGATTTTCACGCCAAAAATGAGTTTTTTTGATGACCGCGGATATGCAAAACTTTTCAAGATTTGGGCTATTTCCGCCGAAAACTGGAATGTTTTTTTTCTTCCTGGATCCTGACTTAGGTGAGCTGAAATCTCTCAGGGAATCATATCTGGCCTTTAATCACCTTGAGTGAACATTTGACTTAATGTCGTGAAGTTGGATTTTCAGGCCAAAAATGAGTAATTTTGATGACCGCGAATATGAAAAATTTTCAAGATTTGGGTTATTTCGGCCGAAAACTGAAATGTTTATTTTCTCCCTGCGTCCTGACTAAGATGACCTGAATTCTCTCAGGGATTCATATCTGGCCTCTTCCCACGTTGTGTGAACATTAATTTTGACTTAATTGCGTGAAGTTGGATTTTCTGGCCAAAAATGAGTAATTTTGATGACCGTGAATATGGAAAACTTTCAAGATTTGGGTTATTTCGGCCGAAAACTGAAATGTTTATTTTCTCCCTGGGTCCTGACTTAGGTGAGCTGAAATCTCTCAGGGATTCATATCTGGCCTCTAATCACCTTGTGTGAACATTTGACTTAATGTCGTGAAATTGGATTTTCAGGCAAAAAATGAGTAATTTTGATGACTGCGAATATGAAAAACTTTCAAGATTTCGGCTATTTCAGCCGAAAACTGCAATGTTTATTTTCTTCCTCGATCTTGACTGAGGTGAGCTGAAATCTCTCAGGTATTCATATCTGGCCTCTTCCCACCTTGTGTGAACATTTGACTTAATTGCGTGAAGTTGGATTTTCACGCCAAAAATGAGTATTTTTGATGACCGCGGATATGCAAAACTTTTCAAGATTTGGGCTATTTCCGCCGAAAACTGGAATGTTTTTTTTCTTCCTGGATCCTGACTTAAGTGAGCTGAAATCTCTCAGGGATTCATATCTGGCCTCTTCCCACCTTGTGTGAACATTTGACTTAATGTTGTGAAGTTGGATTTTCAGGCCAAAAATGAGTAATTTTGATGACCGCGAATATGGAAAACTTTCAAGATTTTGGATATTTCGGTGGAAAACTGAAATATTTATTTTGTCCCTGGGTCCTGACTTAGGTGAGCTAAAATCTCTCAGGTATTCATATCTGGCCTCTTCCCACCTGGTGTGAACATTTGACTTAATTGCGTGAAGTTGGATTTTCAGGCCAAAAATGAGTATTTTTGATGATTGCGGATATGGAAAACTTTTGAAGATTTGGGCTATTTCGGCCGAAAACTGAAATGTTTATTTTCTACCTGGATCCTGACCTATGTGTGCTGAAATCTCTCAGGGATTGCCTCTTCCCACTTTGTGTGAACATTTGACCTAATTGCATGAAGTTGGATTTTCAGGCCAAAAATG